CCCAGGCTGTTAATCTTTACGGGAGCAGAAAGCCTCATCTTTCTCCCGCGGAACAGCTGGTAGTTTCGATCTGCTGATCTTGAGGTTAGTAGCCTAATTCATAACCACTACGCTACCAGAGCCGGTGTGCCTAAACCAAGAGAAGGTACTTTGAATAACCTCATATGCATGTGAAAGTTGGGCAGTGAATAAGGAAGACCGTAGAAGAATTGATGCATTTGAGTTATGGTGTTGGAGGAGAATATTGAAAGTGCCACAGGCTGCCAAAAGAACAAATAGATCTGTGTTGGAAGAAGTACAGCCAGAGTGCCCCTTGGAAACCAGGATGGCCAAAATTCATCTCTTAAATTTCGGACATATTGTCAGGAGGGATCAATCTCTGGAGATGGATATCATGTTTGTTAAAGTGGAGGGTCGGAGAAAAGGAGGAAGACCCCAATGAGATGGGCTGTCATAGAGCAGCAATGGCTTAGAAATAGTAATGATTGTGAGGTTGGCTGAGTATCATGCAATGTCTCCTCCTACTGTGCACAGCGTTGCTATGAGTTGGTACCGACTTGATGGCTCCTAAGAACAGCAGCAGCAATGGTTACTTAAGATTTTTAACAATAGGGGAAACTGGGTGAGGGGTCTAGCAGAGCTTTCTGTATAAAGTTTGCAGCTTTTTTTTAGAATATAAAATTATAGGAAAAGAATTAGGAGAGTGAGAGAGACAATGAGAATATATTTTTCAAATCCTAGCAAAAATCTACAAATTGGCTCAGATTAGACAAACTTAATGCAAATGAGGTTCTAATAATTCTTTCTAATAGGATATTGGAGTCTTGGTATGGTGCTGTAGGATAAGCACTGGACTGGTAACCTCAAGGTTGGCAATTCAAATCTACCAGTCTTGAAACCCTATACATGGTGGCTATGAGTTGGAACTGACTTGAAAGCAGTTAACAATGACAACAACAATATGACATCAATCTATTAAAGCCAGAAATGAAAAATTCTCATTGACAATGACTTTAACACTGCTATCTAGAAATACAAGGCGTAAAAAAAAAAATCACAACTCTTTAATTTGGACCAAAAAGAAACTTAGGTACTTAAACCCTACTTATGCGGTATTTATTTTATCCAGGCATTGTTCTAAGAGTTA